AGCCAGCTACTAGCATAGCAAGTGTTAATACTGGCCAGGTCACAAACAGTAGCCAGCTACTAGCATAGCAAGTGTTAATACTGGCCAGGTCACAAACAGTAGCCAGCTACTAGCATAGCAAGTGTTAATACTGGCCAGGTCACAAACAGTAGCCAGCTACTAGCATAGCAAGTGTTAATACTGGCCAGGTCACAAACAGTAGCCAGCTACTAGCATAGCAAGTGTTAATACTGGCCAGGTCACAAACAGTAGCCAGCTACTAGCATAGCAAGTGTTAATACTGGCCAGGTCACAAACAGTAGCCAGCTACTAGCATAGCAAGTGTTAATACTGGCCAGGTCACAAACAGTAGCCAGCTACTAGCATAGCAAGTGTTAATACTGGCCAGGTCACAAACAGTAGCCAGCTACTAGCATAGCAAGTGTTAATACTGGCCAGGTCACAAACAGTAGCCAGCTACTAGCATAGCATGTGTTAATAGTGCCCGGGTCTCAAACAGTAGCCAGCTACTAGCATAGCAAGTGTTAATAGTGGCCAGGTCTCAAACAGTAGCCATGTAGTAGCAACATTTCTGTAAACACAGACTTGGTTCTAAACAGTTGACAGCAAATAGTACATAAATCGTAAAGAGTGGCTGAGTCTCAGTAACAACCGGGTAACAAGAGAGGAATTTAATTGCATTTATTCAAGAGGACGATCATTTGTGTCTGTTCATCCTTCACTGTTAGGTACTAGGATCTACGGAGGCAGTGAAACGTTTAAGCCTGCAAGCGATTTTTTTTTCTTAATGATTTAATGCTGGTCACAGTGGGCCGCGTGGCCTAGCGAATGAACTGTCTTCTCTCTCTCGAACGCTGGGATCATGGGTTCGATTCCCACTCAAGACATGGGTGTTTGTGTGTGCGTTTATTATGTGTTTGTGTCGTCCTGTTTGTATGTAGCGTCCTTGCGGCGTACAGATCCCCCGGCCAAAGAGTCCTACCGTCTGTGTAAACATTATACGAAACCGAAGAAGAGGGCAGGGCCCAACAAAGGGCTGTAGAGCCATTCAAGAATGAATGAATTTGTATAGGGTAATTATTTCTGTGTAGTCCTTTGAAAGTCAACCAACGTTTGGGAGGAATATGGCGCATCCATCTTCGGAGCTCTGATTGCCTCCTGCTTTATGCTGATTTCTTGCTTGGCTTACCCTACCACTCTTAAGATGGGGGTGACGTGTTCCGTGAAACGTCGTTGACTCTCAACGGACTACACGGCGTTATCGGTGTTATACCTCAGAAGATAGAGCTCTTTATAACCACCGCTGGGAGAACCTCAAATCCTTCATAAGTATAATTATTTCCAAATTCCGATATTGAATTAAAATGCTGCAAATATTCGTTTACATCATAGGACTTAGACATCAACCTAGGATTCTATCGTAAGTAGATGCAAGCACAGGAACTGTAAATAGTGCCCCAGGCTCCTTTTCCAGAACTTCTGGTAGTAGTATATAAACGACACGCCATAAGCCGTCCTTGGAAACTATAAAACGTGTCCCTTTCATATGCTGTTTTTTACCAGTATTGAGAAACTATTGTCTTTTAAACACTTCAGCTTGTAAAAAGCTATAATCTGTACTTGATATCCAGGAGAATCTTCACTGTGAGCGTGTCAGACTCTCTTCCTCCTAGATTCCTAGTAATTACTTTTATTTATATGCAACAAGTTACATTTTAACTAAAGAACTAATAAGGTGTCCCAATAATGTCATTGTACTTTACATGATCATACACGTAAAGTTGTACCTGTGCTTAACTCATTAAACACTACACCATGAAGGCGTATGGGGGAGTGGATATATAGATCCGTATTTTCTTGACCTCGGCATCAGCTGAAGGTGAGTGGTCAGCTTCAAAACCCGGCTGCTTTACCCTCGGGAAAGAGCTCCCGGTACCCATTGTATAGGAGGTTGGGTATGGACGACGTAGAGAAGAGAAAATTCTTGACCCTGTTGCGACTCGAACTCCGACCTCTCAGTCTTCCAGCCCGTAACCAGTCGCTATACCGACTACGCTATCCCGGCTCACTTACATGAGCATATATTCAACATTAAATGATTTGCTCACTAAGAGAAGTCTCTTCAGAAGATTTTTCATTCTCTTTTAAGTAATTCCATTTCAAAACCACTAAACGTGCCTTGGTCCCTGAGTGTTTATATCACATTCGGATGCCATGAAGTGAGTCGCTCTGATGATCTTGAACTTCTTATGAAAAATGCGATTTTATATAGCCTACGTACATTAAACTTTAAGGAATATACAACTATAAAGTGCAAGTTTTATCGTCCATTTCAATAAATTATGTCTGCAGGAAAACGAAATGTCTAAGAGATATCGTAACCTGAGAGAAAAAGCCACTGCACAGTTCAATATGTCACATGATATCACATCATGATTTATGCACACAGATTGCCTAGTATATTATTAAAATAGAGAAATGTAGGATATTACGAGTTAAGCATGTAGCTCGGATGCGGGAGCCAAGAAATGAATGCAGTACGTTGCTTGAAAAAAAAAATCTTTGAAAGCGGCCACCATTGTCGTTTAAGAAACAGATTATAAGGATCAGAGATGGTATGAACTGGCTCAGGATCGTATCCAGTGGCGAGGTCTGATTCCGCTACCTCAGCGTGAATATATCTGACATAGTAAGCTGTAGCACTCACCTGAACGTCACTTCTGTTTACTGAAGAAAGCGACAATATCTCAGCGTTGTGAGTCACAGTTTCTGCATTATATTTGGTTCTTATTAAGACGATTGCCATGCGTGTACACGTAAACATGGCCGTATTTATAAGAGATATTCCTCAAATATACATGACGCCATGAATAACCTCTGAAAATACAGTTATAAAATAAAAATATGATTATAAAGGGATGAACATTTATGTAACATGTCAGGTAACAAGCTTCTGTTTAACGATATTTTCTCACCTGTCTAGATTATATTGTAGAAAATATAAATGACCGTTGTATTTTTAACACAAAAAATTAACTATTTTGTTATTGTATCTAATTTTACTACAGTTCAATAATATACGTTTGTTGATTTGTATACACCTGATGATGGCCGTAAACGACCGAAACATGTAGTGAGGCATAGCTGGGTATTGACCTTGATACTCCTTAGTTGTTGTGTTGTGACGGAAAAATAAAGTTATATTTTATAACACAACGGGATACATGAAATGAAGGTTATATTGTAGAATTCTAGGGTAACCGTAAAAGCTGTGTTTGAAAGTTCACTGTCGAGGCCTGTTTTTAGGTAATAACCTAAGGATTTGGGTGAAAGTGAAAACGAGGGCTGATCAATATAGACATTCTTTTTCACCAATATTCGACCCTACTAAGTTCCCACAACGAAGAACGTGTACTAAACCAGTGAACCGTGATCTCATTCTGTAATGAATGTAGTTGTTTAGATTTGTTTTGCTGTCCCTTGAGCTGCGGTGCTGTACCTAGAATTGACCTGTTGCGGTAAGCTGTTTCTTCTTCAGTGCATACAAATATGCAGAGTAACAGAGAGCTGGGACAGCAGGAGGTGGGGTAACCGCTACAGTGCAAAGTTGAGGTGGCACCGGAAGAGGCGAGTTGCGGAACGATTCTCAAGGCCGCTGCCATTGCCGAGAACCTGTATTATTAACCGGCGTATGTGTTATTTGACTGTGTCCAGGAACAATGAAAAACTGTGTGAACAAACTAGCCTCCACCTTACAGCAATGCTAATTGTTCCACGGGGTTGCTCTCGAAAGAGACGTGATGGTGAATTTTCTGTTGCGATAGTAAAGTTGTCCCTGTGCTTAACTAATTAAGAACTATGGCATGAAGGCGTGGCTGTATACACCGTTTCCTTGACCTTGGCATTAGTTGGAGATGAGTGGTCAAATTCACGCCCCGACCGCTTTACCCCCGGTGCGCATTGCACAGAAGGCTGGATAGGCCTCAGAGCCCATCTGGAAAATACGGAGAAGTGACAATTCTTCACTCTACCGGGACTCGAACTCCAACCCCTCGGTCGTCCAGTAACACGCCTATTATTTTAATACAAATTCAAAACGGGCATAAATTGCAGTGTATTTGCTTGTTTTACATTCTCTGGCATGCTGGAAATGAAATTATGCGAAAATGTTCTTTTGGTTTCGCCATGTCTGTCTTTGTCTATGTCTGTCTGCCCGTCTATCCGCATGTAACAAGTCAAGAAACGTTGAACCTAATGTCTTGAACACTTGTGTTCTGGAAGTTCTCTAACACCTGTCGAAAAAATTCTGATTAGAGACAAAATCGGACAATAATACGCCAAACAATAGCTTTAAATGTAAATAAAAAACAAGCTTCTAAGATCCAGTGCATTTTCCCTTGTATATCTTACGTTTTCTGCGTATTGAAACAAAAAGAAACGAACACACCTAACCGTTATATTACGTGTAGATTCCATAACTTGTGTAGCTGTACCGTTCAATGAGTTCCTTTTTTTACAGAATGGGAAAATATTTGTGAAACACCACATGGAAACTTGGCTGTATTAAGAGAGGCCGGATGAGGTGCATGTCTGCAAGGCTAGAAAAAGACTCCAAAAGAAAAAAATCCTCGACAAATAGTATAAGTTTACTCTTGGGGTTGTCACAGTTGGACATTTGAAAGGAGAACAATGGCGATCAAACCGACTGAGTCTGAGTGGGGAGAACTGTATTGCGTTCATCACGTGACAGTTTTTCTACTTAAAAACAACATAAACGGTGAAGATTATGAATGAAATAATAGCAGAATGGAAGAAAACCCGAGGATGTACAAGTCAACTCTATACGAGCTCCCTGATGAACTTCCAGTGAATATGACATCATTTCGTCACTGTAGGGTTGCAATGCGTGAACAGCTTACAGACGCTGCGTCGTGTTTGACAAATATATCCCGGAATGATAATACCATGATGTGTACCTAACCTTGGTCACGCTGCTTAAGATGGTGCTGCTCCTGCTTAAACCGAAGAGGAACATCGTTACACGTAAGTATATATTTACTCTAGAAATTGGTAAAATTTTCATAATTAATTCTGTAGCTTAATAACTTTCCAGTCGGGGCAACAAATCTTTCAACAACCGCCCCTCATAAAAGGGTATATATATGTAAAAAAGTAAAGCTATCCCTGTAACAGGTCGTGAAGGCCCATAAGTTTGAGACGTTGAGGGTCCCACATTATCAAGACAATCGGCTCAAAGATGGCGTAAGGTTGTCAGCCTTACTCCCCAGGAAAATTATTTAATTTCTGGTACTCATTTCTGTTAGAGGCTTAGTCGACCCCAGGGCCATAGTGCGGCTGGAAGGATTAGGTAAACTGAAAAAAATCTAATGCCCTCATCAGGACTTGAACCCGCGACCTTCCGACTTGTAGCAACTACGCTACCGCATATATGACAGAATGTTATCTTTCACCAATAGTACGAAAAATACACACCATATTCTTAATACACAACTCTTAATGCACAGAAATTAAGTGGAATCAAATATTCTTGTATTTTTTATGTTAAAAGATTTCAAGTAGGACTGATCTTGCGAACTAAACAAAATTATCACGTCAAAATATAAAATACTGTCCTGAATAATACCAGAGCTTCTTGGTTGTAAAGAATATATTTTCCGGTGGAAATAGTCTCCAAATAACACACAATGTGCCGCGAAAAGTGTGCAGACTTCGGGAAGTTCTTAATTAAATAATTTTGAGCGAGAAAGCATTCCATCAATATACGCTCCACTCATGACGGCCACGAAGTTGAGGATATTGCAAGTTCAGTAGTGACCGAAACAACAATTATAGTCGCCTACTTCACAGCTCTTTTTAAATCCGCAGTAGGTCTAAACGCTCAGACTAATAATTTGTTGCCTTTTTAAATACACTGCACATTCCATTATCAACGCAGTTCGTTAAATCGCAAAACAGTCTGCGTTCCTTCGACAATAAATGCTGACACTGTGTACCTTTGACTTCGATATACAGAGTAATTGTGAATTATTGTCGGGGTACCGTGACTTATAAACGGAAACACCGGCAATACTTTAGAATCACCCAGTATTTTGTAGTTCGATTTTTTATTGAGACGGTGGTCCTACAAAGAGCTTCAGGTCTGTGCTCTGTGATTTGTGCAATAACTGAAACACGATGATAAGTTAATTTCTTTTCTTCGTTCTCATTCTGCATAGCGACGACCTCGTGTGACCCCAAAGATAAAAACTGAGATACGTGTGATCCGGGGACTCGGTGGCCAGTCACGTGGTTCACACACTGACCATTTATTGGAGACGAAACTCAAAATGGAGTTTGCCGTGCATATCTTCTACTATTGATGGAGTATAATTAGACAGGTAAAGCTATCCGTGTAACAGGCCGTGAAGGAGACATCGAGATTCCCACATTTTCTAGACAATCGGTTCACAGATGTCAGTGAGTTTCTCAGCGTTGCGTGCCAGCCGATCTTTACACCTCAGAAAGATTCCTGGTACTCATTTCTGTAGGGCTGAGTAGACCCCAGGGCCATAGTTAGGCTGAAAGAATTACATTTATGGGACTGAAAATGGTCTTAGAGGCAGAGGCAGACGTCTGCGTAAGTGACGGCGCTTTCCTGTTGAGGAAGTTACATGCAGTGCCTAAAGATGTCAAGCACTGATACGTGTGAAAATTAATCACGAACCTACAATATAGTAATTTCCTTTACAGTGCCATTTGGTTACTTCCCCAGGACATTTGCCTCTGAAACAGAGCCTACCTAGTTCTGTGTATGACCAGGTATCAGTGACTAAAGAACTGGATATTTTTAGTCTACTTTTCTTATATAAAAATATATGGAGGCTTATGAGATCACCTTCTTGTCTGTCTATATGTGTCTGTACATCTGTTTGTGTATTTCCTTTAATTTATATGAAGCTTATGAGATCACCAGGGGGCACACGGTAGCGTAGTTGGTTGAGGCACTATGCTACAAGCCGGAAGGTCTCAGGTTCGAGTCCCGATGAGGTGGACTTTTGATCTAAACCTTCTATCCGCTATATGACCCTGGGGTCGACTCAGCCTCTAACAGAATTGAGTACCAGGGCTCTTCCTGGGGGTAAAGGGCGGCAGGAGCGTAAGGCTGACAACCTTACCGCCATCTGTGAGCCGATTGTCTAGGAAATGTGGGACCCTCAACGTCTCACAGCCCTATGGGGTTCCATGGCCTGTTACAGGGAGAGCTTCCCATTTAAAAGATCACCTTACTGTCAGGCTGTCGGTGTGCCCCCCCCCCCCAAAAAAATTGTTTTGTTTCCTATGAAGTCTGTGTCGTATAAAACGATAGTAGGCGATTAATTCTTTCCAGAACTTATTGTTTTAATTAGATACGGGAGGTTTGCAGTGATAGTTGTCCGGATATTCAGATATTCAGCCGTGCTGAACTTCAATATAGCCCACTTCGTAGCCACAAACGGGCATTATCACGCATATGACAAACCGTTAATAAGTTATAAAAAACAGACGGAAGAAAAGCTTAATAAACCGCAAAAGAGCCGTTGGGAATTTTATATACAACAATATAGGGTACACCTTTTGTAGTCCTGTCATATAGAGGCGCCACGAATTCATTCTGATGGACTAAGCCCACACATATGTCAAACACGTATAATTCGATGCACTATACGGCTATCCACCCAGCAGTTCAAAGGACATACGGAATGAACTACGGGAGACAATAGTTGGAACATATGTAAGAATAACGTCAACATAACAATGACGTTGAATGACGTAGTAGATGGGTAAAACTTTCACACACACACACCACACTCAGTCGTTGCCCACAAGAGGAGGAAAAGTTTCTCCTGCGCCTCCTCTTGCACCGTACAGGCAGCTCAATCGTGACCTCAGTCCAAATCAGACTTGCTAAAGTGACCTCAAGAGTCATGTGCACAGTGCATTAATGGTAAGGACTGCCTACAACTGTCGACTCGACCCGCGCGCGGTTGTGGTACACACGTAGGAAGCCTTCAAGGCTCTAAGCCGCGATTGGCTAACCAGAAACACTATTGCATGTAGGAGCGACTTAGTATGTGGCTCGGCCGAACCGTCACTTCACCAGAAGATGCCGATCTGTGAGGAGAATAGAAAGAGGGCAGTCGATTAGTTCAGCAACTGTTGCAGTAACCATACTCTGCGTAGTGATATTAACGTAATCACGTAATCAAAATGACGGTAACGAAAAAAGAATTAGCTTCTAGCGGCACTAAAGGTAAAACAAAAACAAGTGTTAAAGTTAAGGAAACCTCAACGGCAAGTGCCAACAAGTCGGAATCGAGCAAGAAACAGGCGTTCACAACTATGGTAAAATCATCAACTTCAGCCATTACCAAGGGAATGCAATCTTCTTTCGCAGGAGCCAGGACTTCTTCCTCGTCGGCTGTAAAGGAAAATCAAACCAACGGTGAGACATCCGCTCGGCTTATTGAGAATGAAGGAACGGCCACAAATACATCTGTCGTGGTCACCAATGGGACTTGCGGTGACATCAAAAACCCATCAGATGCTTCGACTAAGTTGATTATTGCTGAGTCCTCTGGTGGTGTTGCCAATGGTACCGTGTCATCAGCTGTTACAGAATCTGCTACCAGTTCGACTACTGTTACTAAATCCAGTAGCAGTAGTAAAGTTATAGAATCGGTGTCCAGTAGCTCGTCAACGGTAGTCACAGGAGGAACCACCGAGTTCGTTACAACGAGTGAAAGCCAACACCAAAAAGGAACTACCGGTCAACATTCCACGCTTGCCACTGCCCAAACCCTGACAGAAAAATCAAGTGCAATCAACCAAGAAAAGTTATCGGCGAAACAGGAAGTCTCTGCAGCTTCAGAATCTGTAAGTAAATCTTCCAGTACAGTTAACAAGGAGCTTGCTTCATCCAGTTGCAATACTGCTAAGTCGCTCGTTAATAAAACATCTTCGGATATTCAGAATATCCAGTCGAAACAAGAACTGGACGAATCGCTTGCTATCGCTGAAAATGTTAAAAATTACGTGCAGGAGTCCTCATCTTCAGTAACTCAGGTGTCACGAAGTAAATACGAGTCTGTGTCAAGTTCCTCAACTTCGGAAGTTGTAATATCTCACACTAAACAATCTTCAAGCGATCTGAAACAGCACAGCCAACAAGACGCATTAGCAACCATCAGCAGCCACCATTCTGAATCGGTTGATAGTAGTCAACAGCATCAACTTGCCATGGCAACAGCAACAAGCAGTGTTACTCAGGGCCTCACCACATCAAGTTCATTGGAGTCAACTCTAAAGTGTGTGTCCAGTGGCCAGTCTTCAGAAGCGGTGGAGTCCCTCAGCCAACAGAAGTTAATTAGTGCAGACTCTGCTTCATCAATTCAACAGGGCGGCTCTACAGTGCAGCATTCAACAACTGTCGTCACTGAAAACGTTCAAGGGTCTAAAGCAGCTGTCAACGCCACCAGCAGCACCAAAACTACATCAAAGTCGAGCAAGAAGTCTGTGACCAGTACCGACAGTAAAGATACAGCCAACAGGGCGGACTTGCAGTACAAGTATTCGGGACCCATCAAGGAGCAGTGCATCTGCGAGCTCTGCACATGTGGGTGAGTACAGTACAGCCCTATTAACCTCAGAGATATGCCGGCCCATGTATGTACGCATTAAAATAAACGCAACCTACACTATAAAACGAACGATCCAGACTAAGGCAAGACTCGAACTAGAAGTACAGGGGAGTGGGGTGAGTCCAGCTGGGTCCCCTCGGCACGTCGGCCACTGATTCGCCTATTGTACGCGCCCCGGGTAATTATGATGATTGAGAATTTGGTGGAATTAAGATTGGCAGGGGAAACCGAAGTACTCGGAGAAAACCTGCCCCAGCGCCACTTTGTCCACCACAAATGCCACTTGACCAGACCCGGGCTCGAATCCGGGCCGCCGCGGTGGGAAGCCAGCGACTAACCGCTTGAGCTATGGCGCGGCCCGGTATCTCACTTACCCATAGCGTGTGTTATCATCAACAACGTCATCGTCATCAGGGTGCGGGGTAGCGGTGCGATAAGACTCTTGGCTCCTGTTGGTGAAGTGCTCGAATCACTTGTCGACGGGCCAATTTAATTCAGGGTTTTCATGGTTTTCCTCAGCCCCTCGTGTGTAAATGCCGTGATAGTCGTGATAAACTCGATTAGGCCACAACCTCTTCTTTCCAAATCCTTTCAAATTCCTCCGTCGCCCTACCATTCGACGTCTTGTAGACTAGCTATTAACAGCGTCGAAAATTAAACCGCAAAACTAATTGTTGTTATAAGGACTGGACAACCGGGTTTAGGTTCCCTGAAGGGCATGATGACCTCAACGCGAATACATTTAGGGCCCACCCAGTCTCCTGTCCACAGGTATCGGCGGTTCATTCCCCCGAGCGGATGGAGTGACCGGAAAGTCAAGCCGACTGCTGACTTCCATCATGTGTCGTGGAAAACCCTGTGAACCCTAAAGGTCATTTTATTATTAAAATCCACTTGTTACATCATAGAAAAGTGCCGGGATAGCACAGTCGGTAAAGCGACGGGCTACCGGCTTGATGGTTGGGATTCGATTCCCGGCAGAGGCAACATATTGTTTCTTCGCCAGTGTTCGACTGGGCCCACCCAGTCTCCTATCCAATGGATATAGGGCCGGAGGTATTCCGCGAGTGTTAAGCGGCCGGGGCGTTAAGCTGTCCACTCACCTTCATCTAGTGCCGAGGTAAAAAATGATGAAGCTAGAACTCCACTCCACCAATCATAGTGTAGTGCTTAATTAATTAAGGAAAATAGAAACTTTTACCTTTTTACTTAGTGGGTGTATCCAGATTATTTTCGTGAAAAGTGAGTTCATAGTAAGTTCTTGTGTAATCCATGCTATTCATTTCGCAGTCCAAATAGTATCTACGAGTTTCTCGACACCAAAACTATGTGCAGACTAAACAGACTCGTCCTCCAGCCGCACATTAATAATGCCCATGATGCATCATATTCGTGTGAAACAAGAAAACTTATTTTTCGGTGCCACAAATTTCCCGTGTCTGCATAACAAAATTCCCTGCAGATGACTCCCTAACAGTTACTTTATCACGACATTTGGTGTCATAGTAAGACTGGACCGGAGCTGATTCGCATCTGTGATATACTCGGTTCGAATTCCGATTCATTTCTTCCTTCTACTACTGAGTTCTTAACATATTGTTTCAGCCACCTCAAATGTTAATACCGTAAAAGGATACTGACTACACTGCAGTATGTGCGATTTGGGAATCGATGTTCGATTTCCAGCAGAACCACAGCATTCAGACTGACTCTGGGGCTCACCCACCTTCCTTTCTAATGGATACTGAAGTCTCCTTCCCAGGGTATAAAGCGGCAGGGGAATATACTGACAGCTCAACTCCTATAGAACCAAGGTTAACTGGTTTGTGTGTTGTTTATTTCACGATGCTGTCAGTGGCGTAGCTTACGTCTACCACTGAATGGTAGGGCGATAGTAATGAATTGGAAGGGGTGTGGAAGGAATCGCTCGTGGCCTTATTTAATACACCGCCCCGTTATTTCATTAAGAGACTGAGGAAAACAACGAAAAGGCTCAAGGTATCCAGGCCGATATTCGAACCGATCAGTGTAGACTAGTGTAGCGTAGTGTAGACTAGACTGCATCTTCTTGGTTAATGAAGCATAGGGATTTTACCCGTAACTGTAGCATCGAATAAGAAGAGTAGATTATCTTGAAAGGATACATAGGCAACAGGTAGCAGCCTCCCTTAAATTATACTGTGCAGACATTCGTCTAAAGATAATGAGGAAAACCGCGAAAATCCTTGCAATAATATTATTATTCTTCCATCTACTCCTATCTCTTCCTTACGAAATTTTCTCCAGCCTCTCGTTACTTTCTCCTTGGTAGGTCGAAATATCTTTCCTCAGCCGCCTGTCCTCACACATCCCTACTATATAAGGTAAGGTAAAAGTAAAGCTGTTCCTATAACAGGTCGTGTGAGACGTCGAGGCTCCCACAGTTTCTAGACAATCGGCTCACAGATGGAGGTAAGGATGTCAGACTTACGCGCCGGCTGCCCTTTACCCTCCAATAAGATTTCTGGTACTCATTTCTGTTAGAGGCTGAGTCGACCCCAGGGCCATAGTGCTGCTGGAAGGATTAGGTAAATTGAGAAACCCTATGGCATCATCAGGAATCGAACCGGTGACCTTCCGGCTTGTAGCATTAGTGTCTCAACCAATTACGCTACCTTCTTCCCTTAATGCGAGAGAGACGTTTCAGATACATAGAGAACCACTCGTAAGCATAAATCCTGACACACCGGCAACGGTATATACCTGGTTCACGTCATGCAGCATAATGAAGTGCCGGTCACAGTGGCCGCGCGGTCTAAGGCAACCTCATATGAATATCGTCTCCACGCTTACTGAGGCATAACGGTTCGATTTCCGCGAAGGAGAACACCAGTGTGTCACGAGACACGTGAGCATGTTCACAGACCCTTCCAGAATCTCGACTTCCAAAGGTAAATGGATATCACGGTATTTCAGGGGATGTGTCACGGTTTACACAAAAAACACGTCTCGTGTTTACAGATGTGTCACGTTTCTAGGCAACCAACATCCTGGTAGACGTGACGAGGCTTAACGCTTTAAGATCCAGTTGAGTTTCAGCTGATATCTTGTATCGTTGGCTAAGATGGAAACAAAAAGAGTACATGTTATGTATGGCATTTTGTTTTCATGGCGGAGAAGAATTAAATTTAGACCCCCTGGGTTGTAACACCGTCTGCCGGGTGGATGCCAGCGTTTCGGCGGCATATACTGCCACTGTCGTCACTTATACACTGAACATGAAGACAACAGGTTCCTCTAAACGTTGGCAACCACTTTCAAGAATACATGGCGCCCTAACTCAGGAGATCACAACCTGAACAGAGAAGCGGTTTTGTATCTTTATATATAGAAAGAGTACTCGTTCTTCGCCCGGGTTACGGTTTTTTATCAATATCGCAGTGTATATACTATTTATGGTTCTACAACCCTTTGGGCCTTCACTGTTTTTTTTCAGTTTCTTAAACCTATACACAGTCGGTAGAACTCCTTGGATGGAGGATCAGCCCATCGCAAGGCCGCTACTTACACACAGAAAACAGCATGAATCTATTAATCCATATACGTATATAAGTATACAAGCCCCTAAGGCTTGCAAAATGTTGTTAGTAACTGTGGGCCGCACCGCCAGGCGACAGTGAGAGATACCAATGTTTCAGTCGACATTGAAACCTCAGTCTTTATCATAAACAGATTTCCATTATTGGTGTTGTTCACATTCGGCAAAATCGTGATTTAATTCCTCGTGTATGGGAGTAGACGAGTGGAGATTTTCTCTTTGAAAACTGCAGATAAAGATGCGAAACGTTTCCTTTCGAAGGTTCCACCCGTTTGTTGCGTTTGAAATCGTTCGAAATAATGTCTATTTTTTTTATTGCTAGTGGGGTGGGACTAAGTCCCTTGAACTGCGGCCATTTCTGGCCAATTGTACCAGCCCCAGATGATAGTTGAGGGTGACTGTGGAGCAATTGGTGGAATGAAGATTAGCAGGGGAAACCGAAGTACTCAGAGAAAACCTGCCCCAGCGCCACTTTGTCCACCACAAATCCCTCTTGACCAGACCCCGGGCTCGAACCCTGACCACCACGGTGGGAAGCCAGCGACTAACTGCCTGAGCTATGGCACGGCCTAACTTTGTATCTAATAATTTCACGTTGAAATTGCAACGTGCTATAGGGCATATAGTTTTTAAGCCGGAAATATTTTAAGGAAAACAGTCTCCATAAATTCTTAACCATACATCTCCCAGTAATCCATTTAGGACGTCTTGTATTATTCCACATATGAGCTTTCCAAAATGTACGTATTTGTCTGCGGCAGAATACTTGCAGGCGATAAAGAAATATGATAATCGATTCGCGGTAACCGTGGTCATGACGTCAGCTAACAGAAATTTCGTGTTCTCTTATGCTCCACGTATGAACTCGTCCGCCTCTGTCTCTCTGAAATAGGACTGCATTCATATCACATCAATCAACGCTCACAACAAAACACATTTTGCAGTCATTCATCTCAGGCAGAGTTTTCCTGGGAAATGCGGGGTAAGTCCGAAACATAAAACGAACATTTCTTTCCGTTATATTAACGCAAAAAAATGGACGTTATGTCTCTGAACTGACATATTTTAACAGTAAAATTATTGTGCTTTTTATTCTTTATTTAAAAATAAAGTAACGGCCCTTTATTAAAATGTACAAGTATATGAAAGATTTTAGACAAATATCCGTTTATAGTAACACAAGAATATGAATTTATAAGACATTTTCCTGGGCCAATATTTTATGGTAGTGAATCATGAGCAGTAGGAAGAGCTGGTGGGGGTAGGCGGATATCAGCAGAATTGTGTTTCATGAGAACTGTGGGCTACTCGTGTCCGGATCGTAAAAAGGAACTAATTTCGAGAGAGAAGTGAGAATTCCTCAAATAACGGAACTGACAGTACAGTACAGAAGAGCTGGAAA